AAAAAAGTTGTGATTTGTTGAACATAATATAGTATATATAGTTAAAGCTTAGTAAGTTATAATTAGGCCGAAGTTGTCCTGGATATTAAGTAGATCCCTGATAAAAGATCATGAGAAATTTGTTGGCATTTCATTTTGACTATAATGGTAATGTGGTGATGATGAATTTTACTATATAAAAGTGTCATTTCCGGCCATTTCGAGAGGTACTATTTCCTCAAATTTTCTCACCTCAGCCCTAGCCATGGTGGGGCTGAGGTGGTTGTGAAATCACGTTTTTGAAGTAGCCCTATGTAAAGTACATACTCAAAGACAATGTTTTTAAGCTTTGTTTTCTATGGTGTATACGCACACATTAATAAGATCTCTATGGTTGTCAAAAATCCCTGATAAAAGATCATGAGAATTTATTTTGGCGCTTCATTTTGACTAATGGTGATGTGATGATGATGAATTTTACTAAAAGTATCATTTCTGGCCATCTAGAGGTACTATTTCCTCAAATTTTCTCACCTCAGCTCCAACCGTTGTGGGTGGGGCTGGGGTGGGTGTCGACTTACAAAATGCCCTTCCCTGGGTATGACATTAAACTCCATCGAGTCGGCTCCTGATGTATGTCTTAGTGACTGCTGTTTGTTTTTAGGATGTGATCTGGTTTTTCGTGTCCATTTTTCGTGATTATGACTATTCTGGATAAAGAATGTTTTGAGCAGAGGTGGATACAAGGCCCCCCCCCCCCCCCTTAATTTTTTTAAGGAAAAAAAAGGAAAAATATATTCAAATTGAAGTGCGAGAGTGTAATTTCCGGCCATCTAGAGATGCCCTAATCATAAATTTTCTTGCCTCAGCCCCAACCATGGTGGAACTGAGGTGGGTGGTTCCTCGGTCTCTGAAAGTCCCTCCCTGGTTCACGTCTCTTTCGAATTCCTGGATCTGCCGCTGTTGATTTATTATATAATTATTTTTTCGCTTATTTATAATGCGTCTATTGCAATTTTCACTTTATCCTCTCAAACAGTCCTAAGAACGTTCAGAGTGCGCTACTTCACAGGCGGATTCTCCCCTTGACCCCGCCGTGGTCATACGTAATTCGCATAACGCCCCCCCCCTTTTTCAAAATCCTGGCTACTTCCCTGCCATTTACCACTACCGTAATATTGCACGTTGCATGAATGGCGCGGTCGGTTAAGGATGTGTTTTAAAGAACTTAAGGTCGTAAGTTTGAATCGCGTATTAATTTATTTTTTCATTTTGTCAAACAATTTTCATCCATACTCATTTAAAAAAAAAAAGAAAATTAACACAGAGGTGCATTTCGAACTCGCGACCTTCGGTTAATTTAAGGGTGAGTTCGAAACGCATATTGGTATTTATTTTTTTCCAATTTTAAGAAATTTTATTTATTTTTTTCAATTTCAAGTATTTTAATTTTGTACAAATGATCATTCTAAATAATGTTTTTTTTTTTCTCTTGTACAAGTAAACATTCTAATTATTTAAAAATTACTGTACATTATTACTATTACCCCTAATAGGGAATGGTGCGGTCGGTTAAGGATGACATTTTAATACTGTAATGCAGTGTTGTTCCTCGATTAAATAATCGGCTTCTTGTCTGACTGGGTCATGTCTAGGATTCCCCGCCAGAGGGTCTTGTGCACTTTGGGAAACCCTGGACCTTATTGCGGGTTTTTCGGGCATCTATATGTGTCAATTTCTAACATTTTCCCCAGCCACGGTGGGCTAAGGTTGGTATGAACCTCTTGTCGAGGAAAATCTTAGGCGTTGCAACTGCCTGACATTCATTTTTATACCGGTATCCATTACCTATCTAACAGGCTCTGTATTGGAATTCGACCAAACTGTTGATGTGGCTATTGCATTAAATGGAGTAAATTGGCCAACTATCGCGACCCCTTGGATGACAAGAAAGCGACTTTGGCCAGAAC